TAATGTAATAGCTATTTTGAAATCATGTTGATTCAAAAATATCTGTTAAACTGTGTTATATTTTACATTTTTAATACATTCAGCTAAAGAAATGGGGGGTAAATGTGTTTTTGCATCAAGCTGCTACTAACAAAGGGCCTGAAGATATATTTTAAAATTAGTTCTTTGTTAAATTTTCTGTTATGTTTCGACACAACACTGGTTTATCATTTGTATTTGGTGCCTGTTTTATGCTTTAATGATTCACAGGTCAGTGTTAAATGGTTCAGTAAATAAAACAAAAAAAGCAGCAATTGATCAGTTTTCAGGCACCTTCAGTTCCCTCACAGTGTAACCTCTATTTCTTAAACTATTGTGTCGATTCTGGGAAATACGCATCAAAAGAGAAGGTCAGAAGCCAGACTGTTTTTCTAATTTACTGGTTCTATAACTTCTTCTGCCATGCTCTACTTCACACCTGACATACCATTATTTTATCTTTTATGTTTATTATTAATAAGAAATGACAAAGACCAGGTTGAAATTTTAGTTACACGGACATCGGTGGAAGTAGCACACTGGTTTTTAATTGAGCCACAGTCTGAAAATTGCTGCTCCAACTGACAGAGATTTCTCATACACAAAAATTTGGCGTTTTCTAAGGAAGCATTTGCATGGTAGAAACCGGAGACAGAGCACAATCTGGCAGACAAACAGTGACCAGATCAATACACAAGATAATGTTCAACGATAAGAAAGCTGCAATTCACACATATTGTCTTTGCAAAAGCCTTTAGAGATTTGACAGATTATTCACAAATCAATAAAAAAGGAAAAAAAAACAGATATTTTAGTAGCAGCTGTTGTGTTAAACATTAAATCTTGTGTTTTTACATCTTTTTTTTTTTACATTATTATTTAATATTCATTATTATGCATGATGGATGTTATGCTTATACCGAACTTTAAATTACTTACAGTATAAAGCATGTAAAAGTCAAACTGCTCTATAATATAGAGCACTCCCTCCAAAAAGCACAGTGTACTTACAATGTAAGATGGGAAAATATTGTTTTTGCCTATATTTAAGTATTTGTGGGTAAATAATGACAATAATAAATTACATTGTAATTTCAAATAAAATACATTAAAATTCCATTTAATTACAGGACTGTATTATAAAGTATTATCCATGTGTTTGGACTCCCCTGTATTTGGGGAGAACATCCATCCACCCTGGATTTAAACCTGGCACTTTCTTGCTGAACGAAATCCTTGATATATGAAAGGAAGTGTTCCTAATAACACTTGCAGGAACAACATGCAGGAACAAGAAACAAGAGGCAGAGTGACAGCTCTTTCTTTTTTTCACCTCCTCCCCCTGAGAAGCAGATCAGGCGAGGAGGCGCGTAAAAGCCAATCGGAGAGCCTGCTGCAAGCGTAGATACATGGTGCCGTGGACACGGAGATAAAAATATAATAACAATAATGATGAAAAAAAAATCAAATATTTAACAGTGTTTATCCACGATACGAGCAGTAAAATGTTCTTGTGTAGCCCATTAAAAATAAATAAATAAATGAAACCCCCCACACATGCGTTTCCTCCTTTATTTCCGTGCATTTCAGATGCCTTTTTCCTCCTGTTTAACCAAATGTAAGATATAAACTACAGCTCCCGGGGTGCCTCTGGTGACCCTTGCTTGCAGGCTGCATCAGTGTGATTTTGGCGCTGAGCTGAGGAGCTGGATCCACCGAGAATTTAAAAGAAAAAAAGGGCAGAGCGCTTTTGTTAAACCGGAGGAAGAGGGTGCTAGAGATTATTATGAAGAAGAGGACAGGAAGGGGGTTGCGATCAGATTGAGGTTTTCGGGTCCTCGCACTGACGAAGAGCCCCGCGTTGGGATTGGGCAGCGACCAGATCGAGTCCTCCTCCTCCTCTCTGTGGAGAATTGCGTTAAAACGAAAAGGCCTGAGCTTTACCAACATCACAGGATTATTATTATTTTTTTATTATTATTTTGTACCCCCCTCCTTCTCCTTCTCCTCCTCCTCCTGTAGATTAAACGAGGAAGCATTGCTGGCTGGTGTATGTGTTTAGAATGGGACACGCTGAAGGTATTGACATTTTTTTGTGTATTTTCCTGCATCTTTCGACTCGCTATCAAAATCCGTGCTGCTGCTGCTGCTACTGCTCAGTGTTGGCCGCCTCTGCATGTTGCATCTCCTCGTTTTCAGTCGTAGCCAGCTTGCTTTCGGGCACATTTCCCCCCCACAAACCGTCAGTGATGGAGGTATAATCACGGCAGACAATTTGATTTAAAGGGGTACCAGGCAGCCATATTGGCAGCGTTAGCGTTAGCCTACCCAACATTAGCTTTCTCCCCCCTCCTCCCCTTCCACCTCCTTTCATCTTGTTTCATGTGCGCTTAGATGGATTAGAAAACATTAATAAATGGAAATGTGTCCCCGAGTGTGTCAGAAAGACATACAGCCACATCCCCGTCGTGTGCTTCGCCTTTTAACCGTTTAAACGGCTCCTGTATTTCCATTTCGATGCCTTTGGTGCCAGGTAGCTTCAAGCTAACATCGCAGGAAGCTGTAAGATCAGTCATTGAAACCTTGTTATGCCCATGCATGCACCCGTCTTTTTTGTTATGTTTGATTAAAATAACACATCTATAGCCAGCTATTGATCTCTGCCACACTATATATACACCCAAGTTATACTACAAGTCCTTATAGGAGACTAGTGACCGCTGGATGACATCTTTTGGATGTTTACATCACCGTTGTTCACCCTTCGCAAAGCTGCTAACAAGTTAAACCGCAACAAGAGGAGCAGATTACCCACTCAACACTTTAAACCTAATTAATTATATCAGCTCTGGTGGTTAAAAGTGTTCAGTGCATGAGGTCAAACCCACCTCTGGTAGCTGCTCTTTTGTTTTGTGCAAGCAGGCCACCATGTGTTTGTGTTGATGAAAATAAACACATAAAAATCACCTAAAGCTTGTGAACAGCAGCTTGCACGACCTCTCAGTATACACTACGAAGATGACCCGAGTTTGTGATGATAATATGGGGATTTATGGGGTCTGCAATTCAGACCACCCTGTGAGTTTATCACAGTAATCATTATAATGAGTATTCTGCAGATCTCCTCAGTGCATCTGTTTAAAAAAAAATCCCACATAATTCAAACTGCTGCTCTAAAACTCAGATTTGAGGAATAGGAGCCTGGTGAAACTGAGCCTGGCCACTGAAGTGATAATTAAAGTTGTGTAGTTAATGGTCAGCTAACCCCGAGTTTGTAAGGGAGGAGAGGTGTGTGTTTCTACAAGTCAGAGTTAGAAGTTTCATACTATATTATTAGCAGAAATTTCTAGATATTTTAACCAGAAAACAGCTGATACATGGCAAGCCAATTCGGTAGATGGCTGACTTCTTTCCAGAACTTATGACAGTCCCGTGTGTTTATCTGCAGCGAGAAAGATTTACCAAAGCCCAGATCAGTGGTCATAAACAAAAAATAAACTCTGTTATTCTGATGTTTTTCTAGCTATTTTATTCGTATAATAATAAACAGTCCTTGTGTTTACTGTGGGAGCCAAAAAACCCGATGATGTAACTCTGTCTTTGCTCTTAGTTTCTCTTCATTTACAGCTGCAGTTTGATACGTTTCAGACACCAAATCTGCTTGGTTCCATTTAGAGAAAGGATTATTGTTTGGGTTTAAATATGCCTTTTTACATTGAAAAATGAGGCTTAAAAAAACGGTAACCGTGGGTTCAGATGTGACACCAAGTGTCAGTGTGTGACAATTTGGGATTCCAGAGTGAAGCTTTAATTTGCAAACAAGTTTGCTTAATACACTGCTAGAAAGTTAAATAAAAAAGGCCAACCCAGAAACACAGATGTGTGCAGTGTTAATCTGTTGCTCTGTGTTAAATAATCTGTTAATAATTCCTGAAGGATAGAAGCTAAGGTCTTGGTGACTATTGGCTGTGTGCTTGTTGAGCTTTCCTGCGGTTCATTCAGTTGTGTGTACCTCTGTCGGCAGGTCCAGTCAAAGAAAAAGACAGTTAAGGATGCAGGAGCCCAACAATGGATTTCTCCTTCTCTTTCATGCAAGGGATCATGGGAAATACAATTCAGCAACCCCCTCAGCTCATTGACTCCGCCAACATCAGACAGGAAGGCACCTGCGACACCGGTAGTGACCCGGGTGAGGATGGTGGTCCCTCCTACGATGCAGCCCTGGATGCAGAGTTTCCGTACCCGCCATCGGCTTCGGAGGACATGCCGCAGGTCCCCAATGGCTACCCGCCGGGTTTGGGCATATACGAACCGCAGGCTAAATTCTCCATGTACTCGCAGTTCCCCAACGGCTCTGCTAATGGCTATGGGGCCATACGGAGCTACGGGGACCACGGCCTCGTGTCGGTGGAGGGGACCGTCCTGAGAGGTCCCGGTCTCCAGGAAAGACCTCTGTCTCCCGTTTCACCCCCACTGTCCACACATCACCCACACCTCCACCACCACCATCATCATCATCCCCATCACCACCACCATTCGCTCCACATCCACTCAAATCCACCTCACATACAAACCCACTCACACCCGCAGAGTCCTCCACCGCCACCGCTGCCCACCCAGCATCACCTACACCAGACACCTCACATCATGACTCACAACCTGCCCCCTCCTCCCCCGTTACACCTGCCTTCGTCCAGTCCTCCCCCCTCACTTGTGGACAACACCCCTTCGTCTCAGCCCACGCACGCCCCATCCAGTGCTTCTGGTGGGGTCCTGAAGAAAACCAGCTCTCCGGAGATCAAGCTGAAGATCATAAAGACGTATCAGAACGGCAAAGAGCTGTTCGAGTCTGCGCTGTGCGGAGACCTGCTGCAAGAACTGCAGGTAACTGCCAACAGCCTTTTAGGCAACATTTCTTTTTACCTTTTTGTTTATTCTTCCAAAGATGCTTTTTAGTGCAGAAGATTAGGTGGAAATGTGGAAATCTGCACAGGTGCGCACAGTGTTGTTTTGTTTTATTATTATTATTTCATATAATGAAAAAGATGCATGATCTGACTGCTATCTCCTTTTCAAAATTGCTTCAAACATTTTTTTCATGTGGTAGAACAGAGCTGAAGAACCTCTGATTCTCCAGAGTTTAATGTATTTTTAAAAAATTGCATTAATAATCACAAAATGTATAATGTTTAAGCTAATTTGGCTAAATTTTTTTAGTTTTTATTAAACTAAATGGCTAACTTTATAGTTAGCCATTCCTATGAGAACTAAAACTTTGAGGTACAAAATCAGCCCGGGTGTTCTTGACTAAGATCAAGAGCCAAGCCTATGAGCAACAAAATCAAGAGACGATAGTGCAGCAGGAATTACACTTACCATCTGAATTGATTAAGTGTAGAAGGAATGGGCCATCAATGACAACACGTGGGTTATTGATGAGTTTAAAAACTCTCCAGAAGCTTAAAGGCTGCACATTATCAGGATCAGCCCCTTTAATTTAATCAAAGTGTGGATAGCAAGATAACAAGAGCTGTTCAAATGGAGGTCATGGGGTCAAAGTGCATTTTCTAGTCTTTATATAATGTATGCATACATACTATCATTATTTAGCTCTGGTCAGCTACTGCCAGAGGATTTAATAAAATTTACCAGATTTGAACGATTCTGGTTGAGGTTGCGGCCAATCTGCTGTACTGTCTCTCTGAAAAACACAAGGACTAATGTTTTATATTTATATAAAGTTTAAAAAAAACCTTCTTACTTGATGTTAGAGCTGAAATGATTAGCAACGTAATCAATTAGAGGATCAAAACGAAAACGATTAGAGATCCTGTTCACGGCTAATGTGAATACCAGATAACTGTGATGACCCTCAGCTCAGTTTGTTCACAGTGTTGCAGACAGTTCTTCCTTCTTTCTTTCTTTCTTTCTTTCTTTCTTTCTTTCTTTCTTTCTTTCTTTCTTTCTTTCTTTCTTTCTTTCTTTCTTTCTTTCTTTCTTTCTTTC